CCGTTTTCTCCCCTCTCACTACGTACCCTCTGCGGATATCATCGAGGAACTGGGCATTGGACGGATCCTGGTAGCTCCTCAGCTCTCCACTGTCCAGACTAAATCCACTCTTCCAGAGCTTCAGCACAACGTGCACCTGCAGCAGCCCCAAAAGAACAATCAGCCTCACTGAGCATCTTGGTGACAACAAACACTGAAGCAAAATGAAAAGTTCCACATGGCAAAGGAGCTTCAAGGTGCAGAAACATTCCAGCAGGTTTCTCTGAGCTAAGGGAAAAATACAAAGCACTGGCTTTTATGTAATGGTCAATTCCTAGAAGGTGGCACCATGGTCCCCTTTCAGATAAATATGCCTAAAGAGCCAGGAATGTGCTGGGCCAGGAGCTGAAACCAGGCTCCCACCACAGCCATGACCTTGTCTGGTCACAAACCAAGCACAAGGGAATCTTGAACTGATGCTATCAGCTCCCATCTATGGATATATATTGGATACATATAATAATGGATAAAAAAGAGTTGATTTCCCAATGCTCTTTGCACACTATTTTTCCCAATCTGCACTTCTAAGAAAGGCTCAGATTCTTAATTAAAAGATCACCAGGGAACTACTTACCCAAGACCTAATCATCTATTATTTTCTACTGGGAAATCCCACAGGAAGCAGGATTTTCCTTATTTCTGTCCTTGTGAATTTCTATCAAGCTTTGTAACTCTCGGGGCTGGCAAGCTCTGTAGCTGGAGCAGACAAATCCCTGGAGTGACAGCTACAAACCCCAGCAGAGATACTCACATCCTGAGAAGAGTTCTGTCTCCTCTCTCCTGCCACATAAGCCGACTCCTCCTCTGGCGTAGCCCCAAGGCGATACCCTCCCCCTGCAAAGGGCTGTGAGAAGGAGACAAGCACAGGGTTACAGAACCACACAGACCCAAAGAGCTGCTTTCCTGTCCCCACCACCCTGTGGGTGAACAAGGGCTTCATGGTATCAACATCTCCTGCCCTGCAGGCAGCGACAGCTTCAGCAAGTTAATAAGTGTGGCACAACAGAGCAGCTTTTTTTGCCACTGTGACAAAATGGAGCTGCACTAAGAGAGGAGTCCAGCCTTAGCTGCTGAGATAATTCCAGGACTCCTCAGTACCAAACAGCTGGCATGGTGGAAGCTTAAGTGAAATGGGGAACAGAAGTAAGAACTCTTCCCTCCTCACCTTTGGCTTGCTTGTCTCACCACCACTCTTGGCCGTCCGATCGACCGCCACCGCGCCGTGTTCCTTGGCTCCCTTGAACAGATCCTCCACCAGCTCGTTGGGACTCTTCTTCCTCGGAGGACCCACGATCTGCTGGCCACTTCTCTCTGAGCCACCGGCATAAAACCTAACAGAAAGCATGGGTTCCTGGTCAGCCCTGCCCGCTGCCTCTGCAGGAGCCAGCGGGTTGTGTCAGGGCTCGCTTGTTTGTGCTTGTGCAGCTCAGTGAAACCCCCTGGATCTACAAACACTGGCTACCACCAGTGTGTCCCCCACTGCAGCCATGTGCAAGCTCCCGTGCTGCAAAGGCTTTCTTTTTATGTCAATTACTGTAAATTACCCATGGATCAATAGCAATAAAGTGGTAACAATGCTCAGACCTGGGAAAAGGGACAGCCCAGAGGGACAAGCCCAGTTTTAAACACCAGTACCAGCTCGATTACCCAGCTGAGCAAGGCTTCCAGCAAGTCTCTGACCTGTCAGAGCAACATGCAGCTGGAATTCTGAGGGAAGGCACACGTTCATGCCACACAAAGGACGGATCTCAACTGGAAGCAATGGATGCAGAGTCAGTGAAGTGCAATTAAGCACTTCTGGAAGATTGGGTTTATTAGCTTCCAGATGGCTTGTAACACGCAGAGTGAGCTCTCAGCTGCCTGCAGACCACGGCCCATGCAGGCTGAGCCACCCCTTCAGATACATCAGTTCCATTCCATTTACCTTGCCTGTCAACCTTAAGGGTATTTAACTACTTAGAGCTGACATTGTAGGAGACTGTCCTACTAATACTCCAAGTTCCCCCTGGAAAGGGGCCCTACCTTTCTATTCCTGAGTCCACACTCCATTACTTTACCCCTAAGCAATGCTTAAAAAAAAAAAAAATAAGCAAAAACCAAAACACCAACCAAAATAAACCCCCAAAACCCCAGGCAGTAAGAAAACCAATCCTTGCATAATTCCCACATTTCCGTTCCCTGTGGACACAAATGAGGATCTGGGCTGTTTTCTATTCTTAAGCCAGGGCTTCCACATCCCACTTAAGGCTTGCTCTCAGTGCTGAGAGCCGGTGCTTGCACAGCTGAGCACGTGCTTGTGCATAGGCTTTGCACTGACAAACCTGCCCTGTCAAACCTCAAATGTTTCATTACAGGAACTTCATATCCATATAAACCTGTTTTCTCAAAGAAGCTGTACACAAGCAGCAAGTCCTCCCAAAAGAAAAGGGATAAACACCCAGCGTTTGAGCCTTCAGCTGCAAACTTACCGCTGTCCCTCCTCCTCTTCATCATCCTCCTCCTGCGCATGCACAAGGTCTCTGAATGAGGTTACTCGATGGTCACTGCAAAAATCCAGCAAGAAGGATCTCAGCCTCGAGGCCCATTCCCAGCTGGAACATTCCACACTGCAACAGGCTCCTTCTGCAAGGTGAGCTCTGTTCACCAACACCTGACCCGAGAGCACTTCTTCATGACAAAGGCAGCAACTCCTCTTTGAAACTGGACAGCATTCCTTTACTTCTAAGGGATTTGATATGGTAAAATTCACTTTTTTGTTCTGTGAAATGCTTGGCCTGATCAGCTAAGGTGTCATGTAAAATGAGAAAATATTCTTCCTGCAGAGATATGATCTGCTTAAACAAAAGGTCACCACCAGACTGTTTTTAATGTCAAAAGATAAATCAAGCTTTTCCTGAGCCATGAGGCAAGTTTTCCTAACTGATCTCTGGCTTAGTTGTGCAATAACAGCCATGCTCGTGATGTACAAACACTCGGGTTTTCACAATTTCTACAGAGCCACACAAGGTGAAGCAAACCTAAACACAGAGCTACTTCTCCTGAAAATTAACACAACCGGTGCTTTAGAGAGCATGTGTTTTGTCTGCTTTCCAGCATGGAGCTGAAGCTCCCTCCTCACCTGGCTCCAGTGCCTCTGGATATGGAGCTGGGTGTGGGCTGGGGAAGGGTCAGGATGTCCTCATCACCCCCATCCTCATAGAAACTGGCGAGTGCAATCTGGAAAGGAAAAACACCAAAGCCACTCAGGAAAAATACACACAAAGAACCCAGCTGAAGAATCTGTCACCTGGACCTCCTAAGGCATGTCACACTAAAGACACTTCATGTCATTTCCCCTGTTGCAGGCCCTGGCAAAGACGAGGCCTCAGCAGGTTGTGCTATTTGGCTGTGTCATGGCAGGACACTCACTGCTGCAGGGATGTCGCCCTCCCTGTCAGGGAATGTCAGAGCCCTCCTTCAGCAGCACTTGTATAGGAGTTGTGCCGAAATGACTGCTCTGAAATAGCAGCTTTTGTGTCGTCAATGAGCAGACTCAGAATTTACCACAGCCAGTTTGAGGAGGAGCAGGGACAGCAGCAGGTCGGAATGGTGGCTGACTCCCTCTCGGTTTGTTTGCTGACAGAGCCAACAGCACAGCACTGACAACCTCGCCAGCATTCCAGGAAAACCTACACAACCCCGGCAAACCCCAGACGCACCGTCCCTCACCTCGCGCTAGAAAGTGAACGACAGAACCAGGAGGGGCCTCAGTCTCAGCCAGCCCAGGGCCTCACTGCAAGGGCTGAGTCCGGAGACGGACGGAGGCGAGGCCTGAGCCTGCGGGACGGCGACCTCCGGCCCAGCGCTGCCCCCCGCCAGCGCCACGGCCTCCTGAGCCGCGGCCCCGCCCATCTCCGCACCGGGCCGGGGAGGGCAGTGGCAAAGGTACCTGGAGGTCCCAGCCGGCGGACTCGAGGAAGAACCGCGCTCGCTCCTCCTCGGCGCCGGTCACGGCCACGAACTCCCTCAGCGCCTCCTCCCTGTCCGCCATCTTGCCGCGGTGCAGCGCCCAAACCCCGCCGGGCCGCCCCGCACCGCCCCCGCGTGCGCCGCCAAACGCGCCCGGCCGGAAACACCCGGGGCGACGCGCGGAGCCCGCCCCGCACACAGCGACCCCTGCCGGCCGGGAGGTGGCACTGACCGCGCCCGGCCCCGGAGTGAGCGCGGGCACCGGGCACCAGGTATCGGGTACCGGGCACCGAGCAGCGGGTATCGGGTATTGGGCACCGAGCACCGGGTATCGGGTACCGCGCACCGAGCACCGGGTACCGGGCACCGAGCACCGGGTATCGGGTATTGGGCACCGAGCACCGGGTATCGGGTACCGCGCACCGAGCACCGGGTACCGGGCACCGAGCACCGGGTATCGGGTATTGGGCACCGAGCACCGGGTATCGGGTACCGCGCACCGAGCACCGGGTATCGGGTACCGGGTATCGGGCACCGGGTACTGGGCACCGGCCACCGAGCACTGGGTACCGGGTATTGGGCACCAGGTACCGGGCACCGAACACCGGGTACCGAGCACTGGGTACCAGACACCGAACACCGGGTATTGGGCACCAGGAACTGAGCCCCAGGCACTGGGAACCAGGCACCGAGTACCGAGCATGGGGCACCGGGCACCAGGTATCAGGCACCGGGATGGGCAGCACCAAGTACTGGGCACCAAGCACCGAGAAACAGCCGCCAGGATGGGCAGCACCAAGCACCAGGCAGTGAGCACCGAGCACGGGGTACCGTGCACCGAGCACTCTGGAGCACTGGGTACTGAGCCCTGGAATGGGCAGCACCGAGTCCTGAGGATGGGCAGTGCCAATCCTCCGGGTGTGAGGCCACAGGCAGGGCCAGGACTGGCGGCGCAGAGCAGCCCGCAGCAGCCTGTGCATCCTGGTTCGTTTATTTCCAGGTTCATATGTCACCGCTGGCAGTGGTCAAGCCCTGAGACCCGGCTCAAGGAGCCAGGGACTGAGGTGGAGCAGGATAGGGCAACATCTCCAGTGCTTATCTCTTCATGCGCTTGAAGAGGAAGAAGAGGAGCCCACCAAGGAGCCCCTTCTCCAGCAGGATACCAAGCCAGAGGAGGAGGAGGCTGGACACAAAATTTACACCTGGAACGGGGACAGAGGATGTGAGTGACCCGGGCTTGGGGAGAGGCATCCCAACCCCCACAGGGAGCCTTTTCTGGCACTGCAAGCTCCCTCAGGGGGTGACACCACACAGGCACCCTGGCAGGCACCCCATCCCAGCAGCTCTGACGCATCCTTATTCATGTGGGACACATCCTGGGCCGTGTTGGAGATCCACAGGACGGCTGAGTACTTGGCAGGGGCCTGGGCATCGTGCACCACCATGCAGGTGATGGTGGACCCGTTTTTCTCCTCCATCGCTTGCACCTCCACCTGGCTTCTCAGCTCAAACAAGCCCTGGGGGAGCTCAGATAGCCGGGAGACGTTCTCTGCCTTTATCTCCATCCCATTCTCCAGCCAGGAAATGGACACCTTTCCTGGGTAAAACTCCTTCACGAGGCAGGTGAAGACCACGGTGTTGTTCACCTCAACGGGGCTCGGCTCAGCGCGCACTTCCACGCTGGGGGGAACTGGGAAGAGAGACAGAGCTTGGTGTTTGGTGTCCCCGCCTCTGCTGCCCACAGGGAGCCTCGTCCCTGCCCCAGGGGCCCCTGTCCTCCTCCCAGGGACCCCAACCCCACGGGAGCAGGACACCCCAGTGCGAGTCCCCCAGCCCTCACCTCGCAGGACACTGCTGAGCTGGAACCTCCCACGCAGCGGCGCCGGCAGCGTGGAGTGCTGCACCTCACAGATGAGCTGTGAGCGGACATCATCCTTCTGCAGGGTCACCATCACTGTGCTGGACATGTTGTAGGTTTTCATCCTCCATTCGGTGACCAGGGGCACCTGAGCCACCATGGGGTCCTTGTTCTTGAACCATTTCACCCCAATCTTTTCAGGAAAGAACCCTCCAGTTGTGCAGACAAAAGGCACCGACTGCCCTGGCCTCGCTCTCTGCCTGGGCCCAGACATGAGCGGGGGGCTGGGTTTGGCTGTGGGGAGAAGCACGGGGCCATCAGACCACGCTCTGCCCCCTGCCCAGCCCTGGGCCTGCCAGGAGCAGAGTCTTCTACAAGGGCATGGGGACAACCCATGGGATTCTCTCCTGCACCAGCCCTGAGCCCCTTCCCCATCCCTGCTCTACCTGAGCAGAGCCTGCTGGGCTGGTTCCCATCAGGAGCTGCTCTGGGAGCCCCACTCACCTTGCACAGACACCTCAGTGCCCCTGCCATGGTGAGACACCTCATCCACACCAGTGTCTGTCTTGACATACTTCACACAGTAGTAGGTGCCCATGTCCTCAGGCTGAACGTTCCTGATGTGGATGGTGAAGTCTGTGTTGGACTCAACCACTGCTTTCGTCACACGGGGTAAGGAGTCCCCGTTCTGGTCATAGACGGTCTTGTTCCCACTGCCCCAGCCCTTCAGCCACTTCACAGGACCCGGTCCAGCGATTCCAGATGTGGTGCAGTTCAGGGTGAGCGTCTCCCCAGCTGCCACCGTCACATTGTCCTGGGGCTGCTGCAGACTGAAGCCCTGACCCGCCTGGGCACCCACACCTGAGCCCAACAACAAGAAGATTTGGAATTGACAAGGGGCCCCAGGGCTGGGGCACAGCACGAGGCATCATTAGACCCCAGCCCTGAGCCTGGAGCAGGGGACAGAGAGATATTTCTGTCCCTTGTCCCCCAGGCTGCTGGGGACTGCAGGATGAGGAGAGCTCAGATTCTTGCTGGAGTAAACTGAATTTCATCTGGAGACAAAAGCAAGCTGGAAGGGAGGCAGAAAGAGGAGATCCCATGGGCACAGGGAAGGACTGCCAGGCCTGCAGCATGGGGATAGCGTGCATGGGAAATGTGATGGGGCTGTGCAGGCCCCACTTACCCAGGTCTCTGCAGAGAAGGAGCAGCATCAGGCACATGAGAGGCAGTTCCTGTGTCACTGGAGCCATGGATATTCCACGTTCTGCTCCCTGATGGCTGGGCTTTGCTCAGCTGCATTCGGCTCCGTTGGACTCAGCTGGACTGGGCTTAGCTTAGCAGGGTGCTGGGCTCTCACCCAGCAAAGCGGAAGGAAAGGGGCCACAACCAGCCCGGTTCCTCCATGCAATCAAATCCCATTTGTTTCTCAATACCCACATCATCTCCTGTCACAAGGCTGCAATGTCCACCTCACTTTCCCCTCAGATGTGTGCCACAGCCACGGCCATGGGCACAGGCACCGAGCAGCCAGCAAGAGGGACCCGGGATGCGGCAGGCTCCCCCACACATGGCCAGCCTGTGGCTCAGCACTCCGGGCTGCCCCTGCCAGCAGGATCGGGCTGCGGGATGGTGTCTCCCCTGGGTCGCTGCTGCAGAGCAGTGCCTGGGATATACTGAGCATCCCACATCCCGAAGCCCCGGTGCTCCTGCCCCTCACCGGACCGGGGAGGACGCAAAGCCGTTCCCTGTCCCGAGCCCAGAGCAGCCTCTCGGTGCCAGCTGGCCCCGGTGGCGGGGTCCCGGCAGGGCGATGCCCGGTGGCTCTGCCGGGACTCCGCCCGCCCCGGGCAGACACCAAAGCGTTAACCACCCGCTCGGCTCCATTTCCTGTGCCGCTTGCTTCCCCATTTCCTTCCCAAAGTTTGGGCAGAACCCATGGCCGCGGCAGCAGCTCCGCTCCTGCCCCGGCAGCGAAGCCCCGTCCAGCGGCAGCTCTTGGGTGAGTTGGAAGCGGATCCCCTTCAGGGCCTCTCGGAGCTCCCCTGCCCCGTCTGCCACATAAACGCGAGTGGGCGGCAAAGACAAACACCGGGCGGGGCGGAGGGTGGTCCTTCCCCAACACCTTTTGGTGCCAAACCTTCCTCGGGGGTGCAGAACATCCCCGGTCCCGGAGATGGGCAGAGCCGAGTGGAACCCTGCCAAGCCGCTGCAATACGTGTCGGGGACTTTGGGCGAGAGAGGTTTGAGGACTGAAGGGGTTTTGGGCAGCAGGAGGGATTTTGGGACAAGGAGGGGTCAGGGACCTTCGCTGGGCTATAGGGCTGCACATCCTTGCCTAGAACAGTGGCTCCGGGCTGGCTCCTGGCTGTGAACCCCAATTCCTCACAGATCCCCAGTGTTCCTGGCTGGTATGGAACAAAGCCAGGGTGTTAATGTTTAACAGCACTCGGGAGTTTTTCCTGCCAGGAGTTCCCCTTGGCTCCCTCTGCACCTCTCTGGCCTCCAGGCAGCTGCAGCTCCTCCTGCAAATGACAGAACAGGATGCAGATTTATCAAATCATAGAATCACAGAATTGTTTGGGTTGCAAAATCCCTCTGAGATTCTCGTCTCCAACCATTAACCCAGCATTGCCAAGGCCACCACTAAATCATGTCCCCAAGTGCCACATCTACATGTCATTTAATTCCCTCCAGGGGTGGTGACTCCACCACTGCCCTGGGCAGATTTTCCCCTTGTTCATTTTGAACCGGTTTTTGAAGGGTTTCCTCTCTCCCAGTGCCTGCATGTTGTGTCTGCCACATCCCAGGATATGCCTCAGCTACAAACTGGGGTATACTGGGGCTTCTCTGCCTGTGAGGCAGCCCTTGCCTTGTCCCATCGCTCATCCCTGAACCCTCCTGTCTCTGTGCTCAGGTGTGGGTGCCCAGGTGGGTCAGGGCTTCGGTCTGCAGCAGCCCCAGGACAAGGTGTCGGTGGCAGCAGGGCAGATGCTCACACTCAGGTGCACTGTGCCTGGACATGCTGGACCGGGTCCTGTGAAGTGGCTGAAGGGCTGGGGCAGTGGGAACAAGACCGTCTATGATCAGAAAAGGAAGGATCCCTCCTCCCGTGTGACAAGAGCAGTGAATGAGTCCAACACAGACTTCACCATCAACATCAGGAACTTTCAGCCCAATGATGTTGGCACCTATTACTGCGTGAAGTTCGTCAAGGGGAAGACTGGTGAGGATGAGGTGTTTCAGCATGGCAGTGGCACAGAGGTGTCCATGTATGGTGAGTGCAGCCCAGCAGGACACTGCTCCCAGGGATCCCACCCCATAGCCTCCCCCCTGCCCACAGCAAGGTCCTGCTCTGCCCCACACCCACCACCCTCTCCTGCTCTGCCTGTCTCCACAGAGACAGCCCTGGTTCCTGGAATGGTGGCTGCAGCTGTAGTGCTCTGCTTCCTCCTTCTCCTCGGCCTCTTCATCATCCTTTGCATGTACAGGAGGAAGCGCCAAGGTGGGGTGGGCAGCCCATGCCCGGCCAGGACAGTGGCCATGGGAAGCTTCTTGTCTGTCCCTCTGCAGTGCTGTGCAGGGAGCCCCAGCACCCCCAGGTTTGTACTCAGCACCTCTTCCTTCTGCACCCTTAAATGAGCAAACTGTCTTATCCACCTGCTTTATCCTGGCTTCTTTTCTTGTCTGGAGCAGTAACTTGCCCCAGAAACTTTACTCACAAGTGCACTGTTCTGTTGGTTCTTTCTGCATTTCACAGAAGCTTCATGGTAGGGAGCACCCAGTGCCAGGGAGCTCCCTGCAGCCCCTCACCGTGTGTCTGAGCCCAGCCCAGATGTGTAGACAGCCCTTTGTCCCTATTCTCTGCCTTCAATGGGGGCATCCTGCTGAAATTCGGGAGGGGAATTGAGGGCTGTGCTGGGTGGGGAAAGGACCCAGCTTCCTTTAGTTGTGATGGCCATCCTTATCCTTCCCCTTACAGTGAAGTCCTGGATGCAGAGAGCTCCCACCTGCCCAGCCAGGTAAGAGTGAGCTGTGTGGGGAAGCACATCCCATACCTGCAGGAGCCCTGCAAGACTCTGGGGCCAGGGGGAACATCGGGTGGGCAGCGGCTGCCTGTATGTACACCATAGCACAGGGCCACCTCTGCAGCTGTGGCATCACCAGCCTGGCTTGAGCTTCTCGGGGTTGTCCTGTGCAGGGCCATGAGTTGGTCTTGGTGATCCTTGCGGGTCACTTCCAACTCTCAACATTCGGGTTTAGGGTTATTTTGGCGAGATTTTCCTTGCGGCAGCATTCCCCATTTGTGTGGGAATGCACAAATCTTTTGCAGCAGAGCAGCAAGGAAGAGAACAACATCCACTACGCCGACCTGCAGCCCCTGCCCCCGGCCCTGCGGCGTGGCAGGAGCCCAGGCACAGCCCCCACCGAGTATGCCAGCCTCAGGGCAGCTGCCAAGTGACGCATGGCACTGCTGCCTGCGCGGCCAGCCCCTGTCAGGGTGGAAGAAGGGACGTTTCTGCAGGGCACAATAAAGAAGAAGTGGAGCTGTTTGCATGGCGCACCCTGATCTCAGCTCAGCACACCCCGATCTCGCTCACCATGCTCGCATCTCTCAGGGGGAGCTCTCCCAGGACCTGGAAGCCATCTCAACAGCAGGAGCAGACCACAAGGCCAAGCACCTCTACCTTGTGCAAGCTGTTTGCTGCTGATGGCACCAAGAGGACTTCACACACAATTGTGTCCACCAGCATGGGCCTCCACTGGCCCATTCCCAGCCCACAGGTCCATAATTTGTGTTATCTTTTCACCACCCTCATTAAAGCCAGCAAACAGCCTTCTGTCCATGTCTTCTGCTGTGCTCAGAGCAAGGGCAATAATGCCAGTCCTGCAGAGTTCTGGGGGAATGTGTGCCCCACACAGCCCCCCCATGCTACTGCTGAGCCCCCTGGTCAGCAGTCACTCCCACCTGCCCCAGGCAGGGAACCTGCCCAGCCCCATGAAACCTGCATCTCCTGGCAAGGCAGCAGGAAGCTCTCAGGAATGGCCCCTGGTGCTGCTGCTTCAGGCTGAGGCCCAGCCCTCACCCACTTCTCCCTGTCCTCCTCTAGGGGCTCATGATGCTGTTAATTACAGGGCAGCTGGTACCAGCTGGCCCTTCTGCCCCTTCCCCCGGTCCTTGCACATCTTCAGCACCAGTCCCAGCCAGTCCGTGCACATCTGCTCCTGCACATCTGCTCCTGCACATCTGCTCCATGCACATTCCCTGCTTCGTGCCCATGTGTTTGGTGCAAAGGAAGTGCAAGGGAAGTGGGCCAGTGGCAGGAAGCCAGCAGGCAGAGGTGGCAGTGGCAAGAAGCCGCGGATCACACTCCACACTGGGCACTGCTGCAGCACCCAGGAGTACCCAGTCACCATTTACAGCCTCCCAGCCACCATCTCCCCAGCCATGGCTGCTGAGCTCCCACCACGTGTGGCCCCAGCAGCCCCCTTGGCAGGAGGAACTGAGGCCAAAACAGGCTTTCCAAGCAGAGGAACCTGCTGCCAGCACCACTGCCTGTGACCTTGAAAGCTGATGCAGTCACCAGTTTTCAGCTTTATCTACTTTTTTCTGTGAAATGAGAAAAGGGAAGTGAAACAAGACAATGTGACTGAGGAGAGTGGGGAGGGCAGGGAGATCCTTGAGGGGGCAGAATTGCCGCAGTGGGGAGAAAAGCCACTACAGAAACTCGTTTTCATGACTGAATAAGAATCCCTTGCTCTGAGGATGTGAAGTGGGGACAGTTTGCGGCCAGTCCTTTCTCGGGGACAGCTTGGGGACGCTCAGAACCCTGTAGGCATGATGAGTTTGCCAGGTCAGGGGTCTGCTCTCAGCCTGGCTCCTCAGTGAAGGGTTGAGGGGTTGGGGCATTGGAATGAAGCCTCTCCCAGCATCGTTTCCCAAGTGGAGCCATGACCATGCCATGGATCATTTCCCAGCTGAGGCAGTGGCTGCTCTGAGCAGGACTTGGGTTGCCTGGGCTCTGTGAAGGGACAACACCAAAAGTGGCAGAAATCTCACATCAAGGCTGTGAACACGAGTATGTAAAATATGTGGGTGAGACCAAAACCGGGATAGACCTCGAGGACCAGAGGAAATTAAATTCAAGGGGATTTAGAGCTTTTTAAGCACTGGGGTGAATCAGGAGGGGGGAAATCCAGTTTGATAGAAGCATATGCAAAGCAGGGGGTGAGCAGAGCACTGGCAGAATGCTCTACACCTAGGAAAGGGCCCAGGTCTGCAGCTTACTGGCCAGGGGAGGGATTTGGTGGTTATTAAAGGAAAATCCTTTAAGCCACCAGCCTGGGGTGTGCTGGCAGTGAAAGCACAAACAAGCGCCTGGGCACGGACACAAGGTAAGAGCGTGCTGGGGAGCAGAACCTCGCTGGGGGGCACAGCCATACTTGGGGGGCAGCACCAGGCAGTGCTGGGGTCATGGATTCACTGCTCATCTGTGCTGTTTTCCTGGTGCTGCTGGTTGTCACATCCCACTAAGCGACCCTGTCGGTGGCTGTGTGTGAGAGGTCGGAGCTGCCATGGCTGGGGGGATGCAGAGGGCAGTGCTGGGGTTGAGGCTGGCACCCACCAGGCTCCTCCTGCCACAGCTGGGGGCTTCAGTGGAGAGCAGAGATAGTGCCTGGGTGGGTACTGGGAGAGTGTTGGTGTCCTGGGGGGAGAGGACACGCTGGCTCCAAGCAGGTTTTGAGCTGTGTCCCTGTGCATGGACACTCTGGGGTGCTACCATGCCAGGTTCACCTCAGCTCTTCCTCAGCATGGTGTGTGAGTCTGGTGCCAGGACCTCATGTGACAGCAAGGCCAAGGAAAAGGGCTGGGTAGGCTGATCTGGGCTGCACTGTGATAGGTTTCTGGGCAGCCAGGGGATGCTCAGAGGCTGCTCTGGCATCTGATCCACTCCTGATGCTGGGAGCTGGGAAACATCTCCTGGAGGTGCCAAGGTGAGAGGGCTGGCAGGGCTTGATGGGCAATGGTGTATGCCATGGTGTGAGCCACAGTGTGAGCTGTGGTATGAGCTGTGGTGTGTGCCATGGTGTGAGCAGTGGTGTGAGCTGTGGTGTGTGCCATGGTGTGAGCAGTGGTGTGAGCTGTGGTGTGTGCCATGGTGTGAGCAGTGGTGTGAGCTGTGGTGTGTGCCATGGTGTGAGCAGTGGTGTGAGCTGTGGTGTGTGCCATGGTGTGAGCAGTGGTGTGAGCTGTGGTGTGTGCCATGGTGTGAGCAGTGGTGTGAGCTGTGGTGTGTGCCATGGTGTGAGCAGTGGTGTGAGCTGTGGTGTGTGCCATGGTGTGAGCAGTGGTGTGAGCTGTGGTGTGTGCCATGGTGTGAGCAGTGGTGTGAGCTGTGGTGTGTGCCATGGTGTGAGCAGTGGTGTGAGCTGTGGTGTGTGCCATGGTGTGAGCAGTGGTGTGAGCTGTGGTGTGTGCCATGGTGTGAGCAGTGGTGTGAGCTGTGGTGTGTGCCATGGTGTGAGCAGTGGTGTGAGCTGTGGTGTGTGCCATGGTGTGAGCAGTGGTGTGAGCTGTGGTGTGTGCCATGGTGTGAGCAGTGGTGTGAGCTGTGGTGTGTGCCATGGTGTGAGCAGTGGTGTGAGCTGTGGTGTGTGCCATGGTGTGAGCAGTGGTGTGAGCTGTGGTGTGTGCCATGGTGTGAGCAGTGGTGTGAGCTGTGGTGTGTGCCATGGTGTGAGCAGTGGTGTGAGCTGTGGTGTGTGCCATGGTGTGAGCAGTGGTGTGAGCTGTGGTGTGTGCCATGGTGTGAGCAGTGGTGTGAGCTGTGGTGTGTGCCATGGTGTGAGCAGTGGTGTGAGCTGTGGTGTGTGCCATGGTGTGAGCAGTGGTGTGAGCTGTGGTGTGTGCCATGGTGTGAGCAGTGGTGTGAGCTGTGGTGTGTGCCATGGTGTGAGCAGTGGTGTGAGCTGTGGTGTGTGCCATGGTGTGAGCAGTGGTGTGAGCTGTGGTGTGTGCCATGGTGTGAGCAGTGGTGTGAGCTGTGGTGTGTGCCATGGTGTGAGCAGTGGTGTGAGCTGTGGTGTGTGCCATGGTGTGAGCAGTGGTGTGAGCTGTGGTGTGTGCCATGGTGTGAGCAGTGGTGTGAGCAGTGGTGTGAGCAGTGGTGTGTGCCATGGTGTGAGCCATTGTGTGTACCATGGTGTGTGCCACAGCATGCCATGGTGCGCTGTTCCATGCTGTGCCAGGGGGTCAGAGTGGGAAGTGTGGGCTGTACCAGGAGCCAAGGGGGAACATCAGCCCACAACAGAAAGCACAGAGTAACCGAGAGCGATTGGCCTGGAGAGCAGTGATGGAGGGGGCTGGTCCCACAGCGAGGGGAGGGGAGCAGTGATTTAATTAACACTGAGGAAGAGCATGGTCTCAGTGCATGGGCTGGCTGAAATGGGGGGATGCAGGTGTCTCCTTTGTGTCCTGGGGGACAGGAGAGAGCTGGCTGCACTCACAGGGAGTGGGACAATGCTGAGCTGTGTTGGTGCCAGGGCTGGGCAAGGAGAAAAGGAGAGAGAGGGATAAATGCTTTGTGCCCTGTCCTGGGATGCTCCGGCTCACCAATGAGCAGCAGAGACACTCCACAGTGGCAGTGTCTGTCACAGGGGTGGGTGCCCAGGGGATATTGTGTCTCCAGGAACAGTCATCACTCCAGCTAGTCTCCAGTGTCTGACTGGGCAGTAGCTCCAGCCAAGGGCCTGGTTTGTGGCTCTCTGTCCAAGACACCCTTGTGCCCCTGCTCTGTCCCCATCCCTGTGAGCCTGTGGTGGCCACAAGTCCATCCCCAGGGAGACACAGACCAGTCCCTTTGCACATCAGCATCACCCAAAATAGCCACAGGTCTAAAAGCATCCAATGCCACAGGGACCCCACAGGGCCCCCACGATGCCACAAACATCCAGTGATGGTTTGGGGACCCCTCGATACCAAGGGGACCAGGCAGTGCCATGGGGACATTGTGCCAGCATGCCAGCAGGAAGCAGCAGGAGAAGCTGGAGGAGCAGCAGGGTGTTTTGAGGGGGTTGGAGGGAGCGAGAGGGTCTCAGAGACACTTTGATTGTCCTCCAAAAATGCCTCATGGGTCTTGTTTGTGCCTGCTGGCTGGCCTGGCCTGGGTTCCTTCCAGAAGAGACAACGGGAGGGAGAAGTCCTGGGGTGCTGCACAGTTGGAACCTGCTCCCTCCAATTCCAAATCTGTTAGCTCCCCCCTTTGCAGCTCCCTGTTTCTCAGGCTTTTCCTTGAGAAGGAATGAATCCAGAGTAAAAGGGTGACATGCTTTACACTGGTTCTGATTTATTTCACGTCTTACTATTGAATCTTATTCCCTGGTTTCACGGTTGTTGTGGATTTTCACCAAAGGGGATAAACAGGTCTGGGATTTGGGGTTGTCATAGGAACTGTTTCTGTGCCACAGCCTCACTGCCAGCCTCGTCCCCTCCTGATAGAGTGAGGGCTCTGGTCAGCACACTGCAGGTATCTCCAGCCCCCCAGGAACAGCCTCAGTGACAGCTGGGGTATGGGGCAGCCACCTCATGGCATCGGGACACTCGGGATGTTCAGGGAGGAGATGAACTCCCAGCCATGCCCACAAAGCAAACTGGGACCCCCAGGCTGCAGACCAGGGCTTTAAGTTGAGAAAACTGAAGGTGTTTGGAGGATGATGCTTTTCCCTGTGGATTCTCTGGTATCTAGTAGGAGGTTGTGCTATTGCAGTTATTACTCTGGCCAACCTGGAATAATTTTCATTAAATCCCTGGAGCTGAAGGGGTGTGAAGTGGATGGGG